GAGAGGACAAGGCAGCTGCTTAAGGCTCAGCAGTGGGCTGTGTCCTCCTGAGGCCTAAGGGATAAAGTATCAGCTCCTGGTTTGAGCAGAGCACCCAACACCAACTTCCCCGTGGATGGACCTGGTGGCACCTGAGGGTAGGGTAGTATAGGATAAGGCAGGCACTTAATAGAAGGTGGTGGGCTGAGTCATCCTCTGCCCTAATGGGTAATGAAGAAGGGATTTAAATATCCCATGCTTCATTAGCATAAACATGGCTGCCGCTTTTTTTCGAAACGGAGTTTTTTCTAAAAAAAGGCAGTCTAGATGCAGATCTGTCAAAATTAAACCCTTTTTCGACAGATCCCGTATTCCTCAAAAAATGAGGTTTACGGGATCTGTCGAAAAAGGGTTTATTTTCCACAGATCCCCGTCTAGACTGCCATTTTTTAAAAAAAAACCCTCCGTTTTGAAAAAAAGTGGTGGCCATATTTATGCTAATGAAGCACGGGATATTTAAACCTCTGCTTCATTAGCAGTTTCGATGTGCCTAATCTATATCTCTCTGTCGACAGAGAAGTGTAGTCTAGACACACCCTCTGTGTCTCAAGTCTTTTAACTCTCCCACACAAAGAAAACAGGCAAGGTATCTTGTACAATTCAAATTTCAGCACTCTATCCCCTTTGGTTCTTCTGGCTTCCTGCCAACAACCTTGCTAGCCACTTGAATGTTAACTCCTTAGTCACCAGGTGCTGGCCAGCACTCCTCCTATTCATCATCCCGCCCCCTCCCCCTCTCCAAATCACAGCCAGTGCTGGACAGGCTGGCCCATACTGTCTGTGATTTCTTCCTGGAGATCTAGAATAAAATACAATTAATAAAGTACATGCACACACTACATTTATTACTGATTACACAAAGAACTAAACATGATTCCCCACATTCATGGAATACAATTACTTGGATAAAGGGAGAGTTTTAACTGCCTTTTTCTGGGAAACTTTCGTGGGAGAAGGCATCGGCCACTTTGTTAGAAGCTTCAACAAAGATGTGTTGTATTTCAAAAAGTCTTGGCGAGCCAAACTCCACTGAAGGAGTTTCTTGTTAGTCTTCTTGACTGAATGAAATCGCTGCGGAGCAGAATGGTCAGTCAGCAGAAGAAAGCATCATCCCCACATATATGGCCGTAGCTTCTCTAGAGCATACACAATGGCATAGCTCTCCTATTCTGAGACAGACAAGTGTCTTTCCCACTTAGAGAGTTTTTTGCTGAGAAACACAACAGGGTGAAGTTGATCTGGCTCTGTCTACATCAGAAATGCCCCTACACCATGCTCAGACATGTCTGTGGTGACGACAAAAGGCTTACCATAGTCTGGGGCCCTTGTACAGGGTCAGACACCAGGGCAGCCTTAACCTGGTTAAAAGCTTCTTGGCACTTGTCAGTCTATTGGACCATGTTTGGTTGCTTTTTCCTGGGTAAGTCTGTTAGTGGAGCGGCGATCTCACTGTAGTGCGGTACAAATCGCCTGGAATACCCCGCTAAGCCTAAGAAGGATTGGACCTGTTTCTTTGACTTAGGCCAGTTTTGGATAGTCCCTACCTTAGTCTGTAGAAGGTTGATAGTTCCTTGACCCACCTGGTGTCCAAGGTAAGTCACCCTGTTTAGGCCAATTTGACATTTTTTGTCCTTTACTCAGGGGTGGGCCTTCATTTTTAATGGGGGGCCACTTCAAGATTTTGGAAAATGGTCAAGGGCCATGCTCTCCCATGGTATTAATGGAGGATGTGCAGGGTCTGGAATGGAGGTTGGGTGCAGAAGGAAGCTTGGGGTAAGGGTCTGGGGAGCAGGAGGGACACTGGAGTCTGGGAGGGAGTTTGGGTGAAGGAGGCGGTTGTAACCTAGGGCAGGGGACTGGGGTGCAGGGTTTTGGGATGTGACCTAGGGTAGGAGGGGATTGTGATCTCAGGAAGGAGATTGGGGTGCCTGCTCTAGGAGGGGATATGAGTGTATGTGGAGTAGTGGGGCAGGAGTGGGGGGCAGAGGGTTGGGAAAGAGAGGACCTGGTGTGCCAGAATCAGGCTTTGGCAGGAGACTTTACCAGCAGGCCTCCAAACCAGCCTGCCTGCCTGCAAAGCTAAAGGCTTTCAGAGCTTAAAATGTTTCTGCTCAGCCATATGCTTGAATGAGTAACTGAGCAGGAGGGGAGGGGGATTGTGCCAGCTCCCAAAGCCTGGCTTTGTGGTTTCGAGGCCCACCCACTGCTGGAGTAGCTGGGCACCCACCACCAGCTTGCCAAAGACAGGACCTGTCCCCAGCTGAATGTAGGCAGGTTAACGCAGGCACTGCAGGTAGAGTGGTGGGCTGTGTTGTCCTGTGGCTTAATGAGTAGACCATCAGCCCCTAGAGTGGTAGAATCAAGCCCTGCCAGCACCCACCACCTGCTTGCCTATGGCTGGACCCGCTGCCACCATAGAGTAGGATAAGCTAGGGTGGTAGGACAGGTCTTCAGGTGGCCTAGTGGATCAGATCTGAGCCCCTGGGGTTGTTGTTATTTTGAGGCCCACCCACTGCCAGCACCTGTGCAACCACCACCAGCTTGCCAGCCAGCCAGCCAGCCACTAACTTGCCCACAGTTGGCTCTGATGCTAGTTGAAGGTAGGGTGGTGGGCTGGGTCCTTCAGTGACCTAATGGTTAAGGCATCAGCCCCCAGATACTGGGGATGTAGGTTTGAGCCCTACTCTGTCCTGGAGCAGGTAGACAGCCAGCTGAAGGCAAGACAGGTAAGGCAGCCACTTAAGGCAGGGTGGTGGGCTGGCTCCTCTTGTGGACCATTGGGTAAGGTGCGCTGGAGACCTTAGGTTACAGCTACACTGTAGCCTTCTGCTGGAAAAGCTTATGCAAATGAAGCACAGAGTGGAATATCTTGAAAAAATGAGGACAAATGGCTCTTGTGCAAGAGGGGTTTTTGCTCAAAAAGGAGCCATCTACATAGCTCCTTTTTGCGCAAAAGCCTCTTGTGCAAAAATGATCCCTAATTAATTATGCAAATGAAGCACAGCAATATGCCACACCATGCTTTATTTGCATAAGCTTTTCTGGAAGAAGGCTACAGTGTAGCCGTAGCCTTAGGTTGCTGGACCTGTGAGCCTGAGAAGCAAAGGAGTGGGGGAGCATTGCCTCCCAGAGGTGTGTGTAAACTTCCCAGGTTACTTGGTGGGGGATCGAGCCAGTTCTGTGTTGGATGGCTGGAGAGGAATCCTGCACTACCCGGCAGAAGGGTTACACTGGTTACCCTTTATGTCTCTAGCTAGATTAAGCTTATTTGGACCTTCCCCTTTCCAATTTTGCCCCTACATAGTTGTGTTATTTGCTTATATTCATCCTTTGTACTTTGATGTAATTTCCACTTTCTATACGACTCCTTTTTGATTTTTAGGTCATTTAAGATCTGCTGGTTAAGCCAAGGTGGTGTCTTGCCATTCTGCCTATCTTTTCTACACAGCAGAATAGTTTGCTCTTGGGTCCTTAATAATGTTCCTTTGAAAAACTGCCAACTACCTTCAATTGTTTTTTCCTCTTAGACTTGTTTCCCATGGGACCTTACCCACCAGTTATCTGAGCTTACCAAAATCAACCTTCCTGAAATCCATTGCCTCTATTTTGCAGTTCTCCCTTCTACCATTCCTTAGAACAGTGGTCCCCAACCTTTTGAGGTTGTCGGGCGCCAGGGGGCGTGGCCGTTCGCCCACTGGGCGCCAGGGGGTGGGGACACTTGCGTGCCCGGGGGCGGCCCCCCCCATAGCCGCATGCCCAGGGGCAAGGCCCCCCCATACCCGGCAACTTCTCAGTTTTTGTGACTGTCACAGTTTCTGTCATGCATACATGACATTCGGTACAACTGCTCAGGACTTGCTACCTTTGCTGGCTGGTTGCAAATTCAGAGGGACTGTGTTTTTTGGTCGAAAAATCTCTCAATTTGCTACCTCCTTGCTAAGGGGCCGGCGCTCCCCCCTCGCAAGCTCTGCGCGCCCGGGGCTGACGTTCCCCGCAAGCGCTGCGCCATGTGCCCGGGGCCAGGCCAGCCCCGAGCACCTGGGGACCACAGCCTTAGAATCATAAACTCTATGATTTCATGGTCACTTTCTCCCAAGCTGCCTTCCACTTCCAAATTCTCAACCAGTTCCTCCCTGTTTGTTAAAATCAAATCTAGAACAGCTTCCCCCCAGTAGCTTTCTCAGACGTTCCCCGCAAGCGCTGCGCCATGTGCCCGGGGCCAGGCCAGCCCCGAGCACCTGGGGACCACAGCCTTAGAATCATAAACTCTATGATTTCATGGTCACTTTCTCCCAAGCTGCCTTCCACTTCCAAATTCTCAACCAGTTCCTCCCTGTTTGTTAAAATCAAATCTAGAACAGCTTCCCCCCAGTAGCTTTCTCAACTTTCTGAAATAAAAAATTGTCTCCAATGCAGTCCAAGAACTTGTTGGATAATCTGTGCCCTGCTGTGTTAGTTTTCCAACAGATGTCTGGATAGTTGAAGTCCCCTGTGCTTTGGATGATTTTTTTAGTTGTTAAAAACATTGTTTAAAAAGAGTTGTTTAAAAATGGGACCTTGTCATCTATATCATTTAGGCAATGCTGAGTAGAACAACACCAAAATACCTTTTAAAAATCTGTGTCTGTGTCCCTTTTGAAAATAGAATTTTGATTTTACATTTTTGAAAATTTTACACACAGGCTCTTTTGAGTCAGGGACAATCTTTACTTTGTGTGTCTTGTGCAACTTGAACACACTCTCAATATAGACCTCAAATTTGCAGTGTTGGCCAACATGCAAAATACAGTAAGTGAACTTCACATGCACCAGTACTGAGAACTGCGAAAACTAGAATTACAACTGATTTGTTTTTCTCGTGGGATGCTATTATAGATGTACAACATTAGAGAGATATTAGCTTGGGGAGTAGGCAGTAATTTTCAGCTCTGCCATTTTGTCTTCAATTGGCTGATTTCTTCCCCCTGTGAAGCTTCAGAAAATACTTAGCAACAAAGATCTCAATAACTTTAGGTTTATAAAGGTATCATGCTTGATTAAATTTGGAAAATTTAGTTGTGCCCAGTAAACGCTTTATGACTGGATTAATGAGTAACCGCCACTTTAATTAGTCAATTGCTGGTCTCCCACAGCGTTATTTTCTTCTTTTCCCCTATAAAAACTCTTCCAATCTTTACTTGGTTAGTTACAACCTCAAAATGCCAGTAGCCCTAGGTCAGCTGCTTTTGTTCATGATTGGGATAGTTTGTCTCAGAGAAGGCAACTCAGCATCACTGGCTCAACATAAAGGTAGGAACAATTTAAAAATTTTCTAAAGGCAAAAGCCCAGAATCTCCGAAGATGTAGAACAGTCTAGCACCATTAGAGTAAAGGAGTCACACTCATTTATTCCAGTTTTGAATCTGCCCTTAAGTCCTATCTGCCCACAGCAGAGGTTTTCATACTATGAGGAGTGCCCTGCTAATAGGAGACCAAGGAATATTGGGGTGGCTCAGGCTTCAGTTCAGGGTTTAACTCAAGATGGCAAGGATCAGGGATGGACTATACCCACCCCAGGGCTCTTTCCTTTGTGTTTGCAGGTGGAGGGGGAGAGGCAACTATCTGTAACTCAAAGTGGGTGCTCATCTCAAAAAGATGGTTTATCACATGAGGTTTAATCCACTTCTTTTGTTGTTTCACTGCACATTTAAGTTGACACTTGAGAATAAGATTTTTTTCAAATGAGCTTACTTCTCTTTAACAAGCTGAACTACATCAAAATAAGACATTTTTCACCAAAATAACAAAAAGTTGCAGATTAAAACCGATGTAGTTACTTCAGTGCCAGTTGTATGTTAGCAACCCAAAGCATTTACTTTAGTTGAAATGAAATAACTTGAATTGTCTCCTTTTTTAAATTGTCTTGTGTTTTAAAATCCAGCAAGTACTCTATTTGGACCAATTTTGAAAAACAAATGTCAATATTCCGAATTATTTCTTATATGTTTATTATTTTTTTCACTTTTTATATGGGTGGCAGGACACAAGCCACTGTTGGAAATATCTCTCCCAGCCACACCGGGTAGAAATGTAATGAACAACTGGATTGTTTTCATAATTGTGTCCAATTTAATCACACTTCATGATTTTCTAATGACTATTGAGTATAGAAATGTAGCAATCATTATGAGAAGTGTTCACAGACAAGTTGTAGATATCTGTTTGTCTCTTGTCAAAAATATGCATGTGGTCAGCGGCGTCTGATTTCAATTACAGTCTGAAAATCCAGAAATGCAGTATATCTGTATGATATCAGAACTGTGATCTCAACTTCACTTGTGCAAAAAAGTAAATTTAAATTTCGGGCTCGGTTCTTGGAAGCATCCGATGTCTTTGTATCATCAAAAGAATCCCTGGAACATTGTATTACAAACACTGCCAGGGACTCTTGGTATCCTACTGAATGGCACCCTTTATTGCTGCAGCATTCTGCCGCACAGATGGGAGGTAGGAGAACCCCACATACATGGTCTGCTAAGTGCTTTGGAGACTTTTGACCATATTACAATTTTTCACACAATTCCAAATAATAAAACAAAAATGGGAATTATGCTGGGTTTGAAAACTCTTTCAAGACAATGCCCTTTTCATTAATACAGATTGCAAGTAGTTATTGAAATGGGAAAAACTGTGTTTAGCTTTGCAAAAGCCCTCTCTAAACGAAGTATTATTGTGGAGTAGCGCTGGTATTGACTTCAGTGGGAGCAGAATTAGTTACGCGATTGCCGAATGCCTTTGTAAAAGTTCTCCAAGGAGTTGTTGATTATCAAAGCCTATGTAGTGGATAGATCAACACCATGTGTACGGAATGTTCTGAAGGTTGCAAAAAAGTTTGGCTAAATGTATGTTCCACTAATTGAAGGAGTTAGTGGAACAGTGACTCATTCTCAAAATATGCATAAAAGGGTATTTCAGATTAAAAGAATTTTAAGTGTTTATATAGATATTTCTGGTTTGCCTCTTACAATTTGTTCATGGCAGAAAAAGTCATATTAATAAAAATAATGAGACCACATAACTGGGGATCTTCTGTAACAAACAATTGCTCTTGGCTAGTCTGATACAGGTTCACTACATTAGTGATTTGCCTTCAGAACATATAGCACGGGGGTGAGTCATTGGTCCATTGTGTGAATTACTTAGAGATTCAGCTGGTATTACAGAAGGGGCCAAACACCTTTCTGGGATGGACTAGGGTTATATGGTCTTGCATCCGCAAAGGGGGCCTGAACTAGATGATTTCTCAGGATCCCTTCCAGTCTTTGTTTATTCTTTTGCTGAGACACCAATTACAGGTAACGCCAGTTCTGTTAGACTTTGCCAGGAGTTTTTCTCCATTGCTTTGCTCCATTAATTAACCAATAAAGTGCACTTTGTTGGCAGTGAATTCAAGAACGTAAGACAAATACTGAGGCCCTAGTCCTTCAGTCTGAGCTGCACTCTTGGATTTCAGCAGAGTCCCACTGAAATGAATAAGTCTCCGGACAAGTGAGATAGTCTACCAATGTGAAACTGATTTCAGGGTTGGGCTTAAAGATGAGTTCACTTTGTCTCACTGGGTGCAGAAATGAGCCTCCATTTTCTCTCTACCATGCATGACCCTATAAAATTCTAGTAGTCTGGAAAAGGGAGTATAACTGCAGGAATTTCTGTGGGGGGGACGTATTTTTGTAAATGTGAACTACAAGAGTGTGAATGCACCCCCATGACTCCCCAGGTAAGTGGGGAAATCAGCCCCAGCCTTCCCCAAGCCAGCCAGAGCATGCTCATTTGGGGGACCATAGGGCGCTTCTCTCTCTCCCCCCCTTCTACCCTCCCATCCCCACCTACAGGCCTGAACTATAAGATGGGAAAGAACTTCTTCCTAAAAATGGCTTTGTAGTGTAAGAAAAAAATACCGATCTGCCCTCTCCTCCCAAAATGAAGGAAGTTGATGGCACCACTCAGAAACACAGAGCAGTGCAAACAGACATCTCACAAAATAAGCACCCTGTGAAATATTAGAACATAAAATGATTCCCTGAGAGTGGTTCAAAGCAGGAGTGGAGCAGCTATGAAAGCTGAAGCTAAAAGCTTAAAAGCAGAAGTTTCTCTCTGGCTCTACCTAATGCACATACACACAAAATGGATAAATGGAGGCCTGATCTACATTAGGACATTCAGTTAGGAGACTTATGTCTCTCAGAAGTCTGAAAAATCCACACCCCTGAGCAATGCAGTTGAATCAACCTAACTCCTGGTGTGGACAGAGTTAGACATATATAGCAACTTCACTGAAGTGTACCATGGTACAGCTTCAGCATTGTAGGTGTAGACAAATAGATCCAGAAAAAAGTCAATAAGCAAACAAACAATTTTTCTGGCTCCTATAGAGATTAAGAGTGGTCAGTATGATTTTATTGCAGGAGAACCACGGGAATGGGCCCTTCTCTGTCTCCTATTTGATGCTACCCCTGGAAGTCTGCATTCTTGTTGAAATCTTTGATGGGAGAGTCAAATACAGAATGAAACCCACAAGCTCATTTTCTTTGCTTTTGGTACCCTCTAGATTCTGGATGTGGACAGACGCCACATGAAATGAAGCCTTGGAATAATTTCAACCTCCTCACGCGCATTGTTGGTGGGAACCAGGCGAAACAAGGCTCACATCCATGGCAGGTTAGCACAAGGGAATGCGGTTTTATCCTGTCCCTCTTTGGAAACAAAGGTCCAACTTTTCATAGATGTAACAAAAGCAGAAAGGCAGGAGAACTTTGTACTATTGGCACTTCTAGTGCTCTATTGTTGAGTCCCATGCTGCTTTTAGTAAGAGCAGTGAAGCAGACAGAAAGCAGGAATAATTTCCACTCTCTCCAAGTTCCTAGAAGATTTTATGTTTATTATTGGGCCCTAAAGGGAGTCTGTAGCTGGTCTATTACAAATAGTGACACGTGAACTAGTTTGGAAAGTAAGAGAACATCACAAACCTCTGCAGAGTGTAGTGTTTGGGAAGAAGATGGTGTTTTGCACTGAGTGGTGGGCTGAGACCACAAACTGATTTCACACAGGACACCAAATAGCTGTGAAGGCTTTTGGCACCTTGTCTGGATCTAAATCAGTAATGTATAGAGATAGGATAATCCGACACCCTCTCCAATGGGCTGAATATGTCCCTCTTTTGGCATTTGTGAAATATATATATATATAATTTGCTCTTATTTCACAAAATTGTTTGGAGATAAAACACCAACTGGGGCTCAATGGGAAGTTACGAGAGCTTAAGAATATCAAACCCCAACTGAATGCCAAGTGTTGTTGAATGTTCTTAAGCAGTGTTAACGTGAATGTTGGGAAGGCCTTGAGGATGCTCTCTCTCCTAGATCAGATGTACATGGAAAAATTTAAAGAACAACAAATAGTTTTGCAGCACCTTAGAGACTAACAGATCATGAAGATGAGATCTCTCGAGGTCCCTTCCAGTCCTAGTATTCTCATGAAAGCTCCTGATCCCATCTACTTGTTTTGTTAGTCTCTAAGATGCTGCTAGACTATTCCTTTCATTGAAAGTTTTTCCAGTTACAGACTAACCCGGTTCCCCCTCTGAAGCCTTTTATATGACAGGCATTCTTTATGATGCAGGTTTCCTTGAAACGATGGCAAAGGCATTTCTGTGGAGGCACCATTGTTTCTGCTCAATGGGTGGTCACGGCAGCTCACTGTGTTTTAGACAGGTATGGATGAGGAATTTCACTTCAGGACTGCAAGTTCTAAAAAGTGTATTGCTAGTAAAAGTTCTTGTGCTATGGCATTTGTTCATGAAAATTGTTTTACTAACTCCAGTAACCTTTCAATTTGCAAAATACTGGTTGCAAATGGAATTTTTAAAGGGCGGATGGCAGTGTGCGTGTGTGGAAAAGAACGAATAAAAGTCCACAAGCAATTTAAAAAAGGAAAATAGATCAAAACCGTAGCAAGAAGCAGCTGTGTTGCTTGGGGATGGGAATGTACATCCTGTAATAGTGATGAGGTGTAAATCTTCTGTAAAGATTACTTACAAGCAGCGTAATGCAGACACTAAGGACTCAATCCTGCATCATTGCATGCCACCACCTTTCAGTGAACCAAGAATTTCGAAATGCAGAATCAGGCCCTTCAGCAAGCACTGGGATATGGTGGGATGAAAGATGCTCCATAAAATCCAGAGTGCCAATTGAAGTGAGCTAGAGACTCAGTCGGGGGCCCTCTTCCTCCTGTGCTCAGAGCTGGATGCCAGGGAATGCACTGCTGCTGGAGATGCTCTTTGAATTGCACGGTTTGGTAGCCCTGACCTAGCCTCCATACTGTGATGCCTCTTGGTGCTCCCTGGGATTCCGAGGCAAGCTCACTGTAAGCTCAGTGTGAGGAAGCCTTGCTTTTGCTGTTGAGCAACACACGAGAGCTTTCCTTTTTGAAACTAGCCAGCCCCATTGTCACTCTGTGGTTAGCTATTGGCTCACCCAGAGCCCTCCCACTGATAAAATGATTTGGGACAGCCACCCAGGCTCCGCACTTTGGGGGTCCCTGTGGCAGCCACCTCAACTGTCCTATAGATGGGAGGGACTCGGTGGATTATGGGGTCTGGCGCGGGGCAGCAGCAGGGATCATCCCTCCCCCCCACACACTTACCACAGTGGCGGGAGCTGGAGTAGCCTGCTGCTCTGCTCCACTCAGCTGCACTGCCCTCTCCCAGCCTGCTGCACTCGCTTCACCATGGCAGTGGGAAGTAGAGCTGCCGCCGAGAAGCAGAGAGCAGTGTAGGGATGAAGCAGGCTGCCGGGCCGCTCTGGCTCCTGCTGCTGCAGTAAGTGCGGGAGGGAGGGCCGACCCCTGCTGCCACCTTACCCCAGGCCCTATCATCCCCTGGCTTGCATTGCTCAGGGGGCAGAAGGGGTGGAACAGGGGCGGGGCTTGGGGAAGTGGTGTGTTCGTTTGCCGCCGAGAAGCAGAGAGCAGTGTAGGGATGAAGCAGGCTGCCGGGCCGCTCTGGCTCCTGCTGCTGCAGTAAGTGCGGGAGGGAGGGCCGACCCCTGCTGCCACCTTACCCCAGGCCCTATCATCCCCTGGCTTGCATTGCTCAGGGGGCAGAAGGGGTGGAACAGGGGCGGGGCTTGGGGAAGTGGTGTGTTCGTTTGCACTCCCTTTCTCTTCAAGATGGACCTGAACAACCTGTGTCTTTTATCCCTTAATAGGGAACTCTCCTGCTGTTTGTTTCCTGTAGAGTTCCTCTCACCTGTGTTTTGCAGTCTTACTTAGCTTCATTACAAGCCCATTTCTCCTGCCTTTAACATCAGCATTTGCACATCAAAAGCTATGTATGGGACACACCCAGCCCACTTAGTTAACCCCATTAACACAGGTCCTACAATTGACAAGTACTTCTTCTGCTGTTGTCTATGATCTATATCTATAATCTATTCATATAAGGCATGTCTAGATGACAGGGTTTTGTCGACAAAAGTGGACTTTTGTTGACAAAACTACACCTGTGTCTACACTACCGCCGAGTTCTGTCGACATAACGTCGACAGAACTCAGCAGTTTTGTCGATGGCAGTAAACCTCATTCTACAAGGAATAACGCCTTTTGTTGACAGAGTTCTGTCGACAGAAGGCATTGTTGCATCTACGCTGTCCTTTGCATCTACACTCTCATGTCGACAAAGCGGCTTGCTTTGTTGACACAACTGGATGTAGTCTAGATGCTCTTTGTCGACAAGAGCCTGTAGTCTAGACGTACCTATATAGATATATAACATCTATCTATCTATCTATCTATCTATCTATCTATCTATCTATCTATCTATCTATCTATCTATCTATCTATCTATCTATCTATCTATCTATCTATCTATCTATCTATCTATCTATCTATCTATCTATCTATCTATCTATCTATCTATCTATCTATCTATCTATCTATCTATCTATCTATCTATCTATCTATCTATCTATCTATCTATCTATCTATCTATCCTCATACACCCCATCTATCTGTCTAGCTAGCTATCTTGGCGAGTCTCTAACAGGACCACTCCTCACTTTTAAAGTTACAGACTAACACAGCTACCCCTCTGAGATTACTTAGCCCCTAGTTCAGTATGCAAATAGGCATACATTATGAGTCATACAATACACATGACCCAAAGACCAGACAGGGAGATAAATGTTTATCTCCTGCCTGAAAGGTATGTCACCTGGTGGCCTGCCTCCCAACACCTTAAGAACATAGTTTTCAGTATAGATACAAACGCTATGGCTACATCTACACTGGCAGCTTCTTGTGCAAGAACTCTTTTGCGGAAGACTTCTTGTGAAAAAACTCTTCCAGAAGAGAGCGTCTACACTGGCATGTGGTTTTGCGCAAGAGATGTGCTTTTGCGCAAGAGCATCCATGTCAGTGTAGACGCTCTCTTGCGCAAGAAAGCTCTGATGGCCATTTTAACCATAGGGCTTTCTTGCGCAAGAAATTCATGTTGCCTATCTACACTGGCCTCTTGCACAAGAACAGTTGTGCAAGAGGGCTTATTCCTGAGCGGGAGCATTATAGTTCTTGTGCAAGAAGCACAGATTTCACACATTAAAATGTCAGTGTTCTTGCACAAGAACTCCCCGCCAGTGTAGACAGACAGCCAGTTTTTGCACAAGAGCGGCTGCTTTGGCACAAGATTGCACCAGTGTACACACAGCCTATAAGTATCTATCCATACAAGGGCTATGTCTACACTCGCGGCTTCTTGTGCGAGTAATATGCAAATGAGGCTAAGCATGGAATATCGCCGAGCCTCATTTGCATACCAAATGAGCCACCATTTTTTTCAGAAGAGGCTCTTGCGTAAGACGGAGCATCTACACTGCCCCTTCTTGCGCAAGAAAAACCTTCTTGCGCAATGCCGTTCTTCCTGAAAATTAATAGGTGTAAACGCATTGCGCAAGAGGGGGCAGTGTAGATGCTCCTTCTTGCGCAAGACCCTCTTCTGAAAAAAATGGTGGCTCATTAGGTATGCAAATGAGGCTCGGCGATATTCCACGCTTAGCCTTATTTGCATATTACTCGCGCAAGAAGCCAAGGTGAGTATTAGAGGTCTGTACACAGGAATATCTGTGGGGGGCCTTTTTTGGTAAATGTGGACTGCAATGTTTTTAACTATAAAGGAGTGCAAAATAGTCTTGTGCAGGAGAGGTTAATGAAAAATGTGAATGGAAACAGTGATTGGTCAAATGATTTTGTTATAACATACCACAAATTTACACAGTAATAAAAGTTTTATAGAAATTACCTTCTGGGATCATGGCGGGCAGCACGACCGCCATGCCCTCCCCCCACTCCGTGCCCTCAGCCGCTTCTGCCTGCTGCTGCCTCACCTGCTTGGCGAGACCAATGCCGGGTGAAGGTGGGTGGAGCTTCTGGCACTGCCATCACCCCCTCCTGCTCATTCCCCCACAACACAGCAGTTCTCAAACTTTTTGGTCCGTGGCCCACCTGGCTCAACACAAACCTTTCCATGGACCACCAGTTGCTAATGGACACTCGTCTTTAATTACACAATTACCCCCGAGCCACTTTGCTAGTGTGGCAGCTAGGGAGAGTGGTTTAATTTAACCAGTACAAAAGGAAATAGCAATTAAATTATTAAATAGACTAAGCACTTTAACTTCCTCATGTTAGTTTATTAAACTTAATTTAAAAGAAACTAACATATTCACAAAAGGTTCCAATGTTTTCTTTATTTATGGCAGGGGCAGAGAACCTTTTTTTGGGTGGGGCCACTGAACCACAGAAAAATCAGTTGGGGACCATGCAAGTGAGAAAAACCTCCAAAACTCCTAATCCTCACTGATGTGGCCCCCAACTTAGATACCTCCCTCCTCTGGTGAGCCAGCCCCACTGGGGGAGGGGCAGACAGGGAGGACTGAGGTTCAGGGTTTCCTATGGGCCAGATTTACTCTTCTGGGGTACCAGGGTTAGTGGAATTTGTGGCCCCCCTCTAGGCTCTGGGCTGGGACAAAAATGGGGGTTCAGTGTGTGGAACAGAGCTGCCAGGGAATGGGATAGGGATGAGGTGCAGGATCTAGGTGGGAGGTGGGGTACAGGAGGGAATGAGGGTGCGAGGTCTGAATGGCAGGTAGGATACAGAAGCAGGCTGTGAGTATAGTGTTTGGCTGGGGGAGGATGCAGGAACAGAGCCCCCTCATGCTGACTTGAGGGACCATGGAGGGGGGTATTTGCAGACTTTGCACCCCCCCTATGTATGGGCCTGTATTATGGCTAGTGAGCTACTGGCTCTGGGTGGGGATCATACACGCCATCTTTGGGTGAAGTATTATAAATCTATCCAATTCAAGGGATCCCTGAGAATCTGTATATGAAAATTCGGAATGACTCGCATCACTGAGCAGACTCATCAAAGGGACAGGGGTTCAGTTTTCAATGTTAATAGGAAAATGTCTTTTCTGGTTACTACTTCGGACAAGTTAGACTGGGATTTCAAAGGCATCTAAGGAAGTTTGGAGCTAATTTTCCACAGAATTGGCCCCTAATTCTCTTAGGCGTAGGCACCTTTGAAAATCCCAGCATACGGAGAACAAAACTGGATTTGTCTATAGAAAGCCAGGATTTCCTAACTATTGAAGTGTCTAATGTATGTGCATAGTAGTTTTGTGCAACTGCTGTGCATTGTATTGCTAATTTAATTAAGATCTGCAATGCACTTCTACAAGGAGAGCCAGCACAGGGATGATATACCACTTAATGGCACTTATGTCTCACAATAGGGAAGTGCTTTCCTCTGCACAGAGGCAAATTACTGTTAGGACACAGGATTGAGAATTTTTTTATATGGGTTCTTGTCCTGATTCTGCCACTGACTCATTGGATGACCTTAGGGAAGTCAAAGTTTTCCTATCTGAAAAACATCATGATCTTGTATTGAGAGTATAAGACTAGGAATCAGGAAATTCATGTCTTCCCCCTTCTGCTGCTTTACTACTATGTGCCTCGGTTTCCCCATTTCTAAGTTTACCTCACTTAGGTGTTGTGAGGCTAATCTATTAATGTAAAGCCTTTTAAGTTATGTGGCTGGGAAGTGCTATACTATGGTTAAAAAGACTAACAGGATGTATACCCTGCAATTGGGGGTGTGATTGCAGCATGTGTAGACACACCTGCGGTTAGTTGTAATCTAGCTGTCTTGAGGAGTCCACTCAGGACCCAGAGTATTTACTCAGACAGCTCACTGGTGCTGAAGTCTATGCTTTACTGCTAGCTCGAGGGCATCTACTTGCACCACAATCACATTTCCAATTGCCGTACAGGAATACCTCAGGGAACCTTTGTTTGTTATTCTCAAGTTTTTCTCCTTTTCCTCCTTAAACATTGACTCTCTACTCTACAGACACTTACGTGATTATCTGAATATCACTGCTGGAGAACATGATTTAAGTCTTGCGGAGGCAGGAGAACAGACACTACCGGTTAAATCCATCATTAAACACCCATATTTCAACCCCAGAAGACCAATGAATTATGACATTGCCCTTGTGAAGCTGGATGGTGCTTTCAACTTTAGTAAGGCCATAATTCTATACAATAATTTGCATTTATAAATGTCAAGCTCTCAGAGCTGCCTGTTAAACATTGCTGTTAAAGCATTACACCTAAAGGGAAATATTTTTTGCATAATTTAACTACATTTCTCACGGAAAAAATAATTGTGCCATAAAGGAGACTGAGAAATAGGTATACTGTACATCAATGCATGATTTTCTTTGCAACCACGAGGATCTTTTTTTTTAACAGGGAAAACTTTGTGATATAGACAGATAATTTGAGGCTATGAGGGCTTGGGTCTGTAATGACTTAACCTTTGGTACTATGGTTCGTTGTGTTGCTATTCATTAGCTTCACAGAATGGAAGACCAGATTAAGAGAACATATTCATCCAATTGCACCAGGTAAGAAGGTAACTTCCTCTGAGGTGCTCTGAAATACAGGTGTGAACAAATGTCCAGTAGCTTGTAACAACTGTCTTTTTCAGATTGGCCCTTTGATAAATATCACACTAAACCACAGTGTTACTTTATGTAAAGGTTTAGTTGAAAAGTAAAACACAGTTTATGTTCCTAAGGTCTTTCTTCCAAATGATTAACAAAAAATTCCATGTATATTCATGGTAGGTTCATCAGTTTTGCCTGCCTGTCTTCCTAATGTTGGTGAAAAGTTTGGTCCGGGAGATGTTTGTACCACTTGTGGTTGGGGCCGTCTAACAGAGAGTAAGCCATTAAAGTATTTTTTAAACATTTCTTAGTCTCGTTTATAAGCTCCTTTTTTTCCCAGTTGGATTGTATAGACGTTTGCATAGTATCACCAAATCTACAGACCAGACAAATGGTGGAGAGAGAGCGAGAGAGAGAATGAGTTTTCTCTTAACTGGAATTCCAAAGCAAGCCTTATACATTTTTTCTGAACCCTCACTTTTGGAACATATTGGAATCTTAAAACAGGGCTTATGTGGTACAGTGGTTTTGTGTGGACCTTCTGCACTGTTCAGAGGAGTAAATTTTACCCTGAATGTATTACAGGAATCTAAACTAGTTTGCCAGAGGTTCTGGAAGCAGGTGGCATAAACTCAACTTCTAATACGTATCTAAATATTTTATTTTCAACATTTGAACTTTTTTTTAGTTCAGCTGTTGGAAGGTGGAATAGTTTGCTAATTTTTCTTTGAAGGTGAACTGAAATTGTTTTTATTTGTATCCATAATGGTTTTTAACAAACAAAAAAATATATCTGTGGTACATATTCTGAACATCACATACAAAGTTGTATTTCATAGTTGCAAAAATGGTTCAATGTCATAATGTGAAATGTCTGCATTAAAACGCATTCTGAATTACAATAGGTCTTTTTTTGTGAGGGGGAAACAGTCTGATATTGTTTTTTTAAGTATTCTCTTTTTAAAGAAAACCTAGCGCTCAGTTTTATAAGGCTCATATTCTGCAATGATCTATACATGGGTAGACTCTCGTGCCTGCATTGATGTCACTACAGGATAAGGGCCTATGTTTTCAAATCAAGACATTTCACATTTTATGCAGCCAAAGATCAATATTTGAACTGAATATATACATCCAAATAAAACTTCACATATTGATATATACAATGGCTATTTCTCAAAACCCAACATTTAGAAGATTGAAACCACCATAAAACAAACAACCATCATTATTCACCTTTCAGTATATCTAGCAAACTAGTCCCCTTATTTTTTTTCTTGAATCTTTTTTTAGATGGAATTCTCCCTCAGGTCTTGCATGAAGTGGACTTGCCAATAATAGACAACAAGGAATGCTCTAAAGCATTGTCAACTCTACGGAATCCAATCCGAGGAGACACTTTAATATGTGCAGGATTTCCAGATGGAGGAAAGGATGCATGCCAGGTTAGTGGAACATTTAGCCTTGCAGACCTGCCTGTGTTATGCTGTAGCTCACACTGATGTATGTATGTGTTTGAGTGACTAGATACTCTATAATACAATGATAAGGAGTGTAATCCAGTTCATATTTTAGTTGTTCAAAGATGCCAAGTATAATCCACCTACCACTTTGGTAAATTTTATTTTCTCGTCGTTTTGGTATGGGTTTCTTGAAATTAATTAAGGTTTGGAGCTTTCAGTTCAGACCTTTGGAACATGTCTCAGTGCAATACCACTTGCAACTTCCCATATTCAGAACACTTCATAACCATTAATTAATGGCCTCATAATACCCCAGCGAGTCCTGCCCTGATTTTCAATGAGGAAAAAGAGGCATGGGGGTTAAATGAGATGCTTTTGGACATACAGTCTAGGTCTACATTAGGGGATAAATTCGAATTAAGATACACAACTCCAGCTCCATTAATTCGTTAATTCCGTAGCTTGAGTCAAAGTAGCTTAAATTGAATTTTGGTGCCGTCCACACTGTGGGAAGCCAATGGGAGCACACTATCCCTTTGACTTCCCTTACTCTTCATCAAAGCAGGATGACAGGCATCAACAGGAGCACTCTCTCTGTTCAAATTAGTATGTCTTCCCTAGACCGCTAATTCGAACCATGGAAGATCGACTGCAGCAGCTATGATTTTCTCTGTAGCACAGGCGTGACACAGGGAGTAAGGGTACATCTACACTAGCCCCCTAGATCAATCTAGGGAGGATAGTGAGGGTGACCAGAATTGCAAATCAAGCCCAGGATTTAAATATCCCATGCTTGATTTGCATGTTCCTGGCCGGTCGCCATTTTAGAAATTGACTAGCCCGAAGCAACTGCCTGCGTCTAGATGCGGCAGTGAAACGGGATTCCGCTTTAAAGCCCCTAAATCGAATTAGCTAGTAAACCTCATTGAGGAGGAATACCAGCTAATTCGAGTTAGGGCTTTAAATCGGAATCTCGTTTCACTGCTGCGTGTAGACGCGGGCAGTTATTTCGGGCTAGTCAATTTCTAAAATGGTGACCAGCTGGGAAAAGGCAAATCAAGCACAGGATATTTAAATCCCGGGCTTGATTTGCAATTCCGGTCGCTCTCATTAGCCTCCCTAGATCAATCTAGGGGTCTAGTATAAATGTACTCTTAGTGTCATAACCAGAACTAGAATTCAAGAATTCCTACCTCCTAGTCCTATGCTAAGACCATAACTCATCCCATTCTGGCACCAAAACGTGGATGTTCATTTTGTTGGTAGGGAACATATTTGTCTTTCTTTTCCTCCCTCTCCCTTCACAACAACCCTGACCAAATACAGCCAGCCCAGCTGTGGAGGCACACTCTCATTCACTTGGTTGGCTTAATGGGACATGCACTAAATAGCAATGGGATCACTCCTCTACAAAATACAGAAGGATGTTCTTTTCTGGAACTGTCCAATGGCGCACTTCATACTGGCTTGGTCACATACATGCATTTATATTAAGATGGGTTACCTTTATTTTAGGGTGATTCTGGAGGCCCTCTTTTGTGTAGGCGCAAGCATGGTGCCTGGACTCTAGCTGGGGTGACCTCATGGGGTATGGGATGTGCTCGGAGCTGGAATGATAATGTGAGGAAAAAGTATGATAAGAGAGGATCGCCAGGGGTTTTCACGGATCTCCGGAAGGTGCTCTCCTGGATTCAAGAAAACATCAGTACTGGTAATAAAACCTACACAAATACTTTAATAATATGTAGGAGTAATGATTTCTTGATATGTTCTTCATGGCTCCAATCTTTGCTTCAGAACAAATAGCTGTTATGGCTTTCATTATGTGTCTAGCTGAACATCAAAAGAGCTGGCTGAGGCTTTTTTTAAACAACAAAAAATATCATCCAAAGCACAGGATTTGATGCTGATGGGGGACTTCAACTATCCAAACATATGTTGGGAAACTAACACAGCAGGGCACAGATTATCCAATAAGTTCTTGGACTGCATTGGAGACAATTTTTTATTTCAAAAGGTTGAGAAAGTGACTAGAGGGGAAGCTGTTCTAGGTTTGATTTTAACAAATAAGGAGGAACGGGTTGAAAATTTGAAAGTGGAAGGCAGCTTGGGTGAAAGTGATCATGAAATCATAGAGTACATGATTCTAAGGAATGGTAGAAGGGAGAACGGCAAATTAGAGACAATAGATTTCAGGAAGGCAGATTTTGGTAAGCTCAGAGAGCTGGTAGGTAAGGTCCCATGGAGAACAAGACTAAGAGAAGAAACAACTGAAGAGAGTTGGCAGTTTTCCAAAGGGACATTATTAAGGGCTCCAAAGCAAACTATTCCATTGAGTAGGAAAGATAGAAAGTCTGGCAGGAGACCACCTTGATTTAACCAGGAGATCTCATATGATCTAAAAATAAAAAGGGAGTCACATAAAAAGTGGAAACTATTACAAAGGGTGAATATAAGCAAATAACACACTTATGGAGGGGCAAGATTAGAAAGGCAAAGACACAAAACGAGCTCAATCTAACTAGAGCATAGGTTCCCAAACTGGTGTGTGCGCCCCCCTGGGGAGACATGAAGAAATTCCAGGGGGGTGGGATGACATCACGGCATAGCCTTTTAATTTCCTGTGATTAAACATGGTTAATATCATCAAAAGGGATCAGTTGAAACAAGGTCAAGTTACAAAGAATGAATATAAGCAAATAACGCAAGTATGTAGGGGCAATATTAGAAAGGCGAAGCTCAATCTAGCTAGAGACATAAAGGGTAACAAGAAAACATTCTACAACTATATTAGAAGCAAGAGGAAGACCAAGGACAGAGTAGATCCATTGCTCAGTGAAGAGGGGAAAACAATAAAAGGAAACTTAGAAATGGCAGAGGTGCTTAACGACTTCTTTGTTTTGATTTTCATCAAGGAGATTGATGGTGAATGAATCCCTAACATAGCGAATGCTAGTGGAAATAGAAGTAATTCATTACTTCCATTGGAGTCCTGTACCTTCAGTTATTTTTTTTCCTGGATGGTGACGGAATCCCTAACATAGCGAATGCTAGTGGAAATGGGGTAAGTTTAGAAGTTAAAATAAAACAAGAACAAGTTAAAAATCACTTAGAAAAGTTAGATGTCTGCAAGTCACCAGGGCCTGATGAAATGCATCCTAGAATACTCAAGGAGCTGATAGAGGAGGTATCTGAGCCTTTAACCATCATCTTTGAAAAATCATGGAAGTGGGGAAAAATTCCAGAAGACTGGAAAAGGGCAAATATAGTGCCCATCTATAAAAAGGGAAATAAGAACACACCAGGAAACTATAGACTAGTCACTTTAACTTCTGTGCCAGGAAAGATAATGGAGCAAGTAATTAAGAAATCCATCTGGAAGATAATAAGGTGATAGGTAACAGCCAGCATGGATTTGTAAAGAACAAATCATGTCAAAACAATCTGATAGCTTTCTTTGATAGAATAACAAGTCTTGTGGATAAGGGAGAAGCGGTGGACGTGGTATACCTAGACTTTAGTAAGACATTTGACATGGTCTCACATGATCTTCCTATCAATAAACTAGGGAACTACAACCTAGATGGGACTACTGTAAGTTGGGTGCATAACTGGCTGGATAGCCATTCTCAGAAAGTAGTTACTAATGGTTCACATTCATGCTGGAAGGGCACAACAAGTGGGGTTCTGCAGAGGTCTGTTTTGGTACCAGTTCTGTTCAACATTTTCATCAACAATTTAGATGTTGGCATAGAGAGTACACTTGTTAAGTTTGCAGATGATACCAAGCTGGGAAGGGTTGCAAGTGTTTTGAAGGACAGGGTCATAATTTAAAATGAGCTGGACAAACTAGAGAAATGGTCTGAGGGGACTGGACTTGATGATCTTCCAAGGTCCCTTCCAGTTCTAGTATTCTATTATACACTGTAGTTTCTATAAACTTATTCATTTCAATAAAGAGAAAGTGTATAGAAGATTTGTCTTATCACTGAGAGTGCTCCTCTAAAATTCCTTTTTTCCCTCTCTAAACCTAGATTTGAAAATGAAAAGTTCTACAGGTGAGTGGGTATATTTTTAAAGTGTTATAGGTAAAAAATAGTTTGTGTTTTGTATTCTTTCTTTCCACTATGTCGTTTACTCAACTTTTCAGTAAACACATAAGTTTAACACACAAGTTTATCTATGCAGCTGTCAGTTGCAGTTAGTGGTAGCAACTAATACCAAACAAATTAACTATATTAAAAATATAGTAACTATTAATTGCAGTTTTATTCACATAATAAATTGGTATTATTTAATGTTTGTGACCATTTTAATACATTTCCAAATGTATTGAATTCAGTTACAACACAGAATATAACGTGTATAGTACTCGCTTCTTATTAGTTTTGTTATAAATATTTGCATTTTAAAAGATAAGAGAGATAATATAGTATTTTTCAGTTCACCTCATACAAGTCCTCTTGACCTACTTCTTGCTCATCCAATTGCTCAGATAAATAAGTTTGTTTACATTTACGGGAGGTAATGCTGCCTGTTTCTGATTTACAATGTCACCTGAAAGTCAGAACAGTTATTTGCATGGAACTACTCTATTTGGCATTGGACGCTGTTTACATGCCAGATATCTAAACATTCATATTCACCCCTTCATGCATCGTGCTAAAGTTTTACATTGTTTTGTTTGAGTACAGTTATGTCAAATAAAAAAGATAATTATTCTACATTTGTAAGTTGCACTTCCACAATAAATAGGTAGCATTACATTACTTGTATGAGGTGAATTATTTTTTTAGTTCAAATATTTAATAAAAATTGCATAAAATCAGGACTATATACCTTGTATTCTGTGTTGTGTTGAAATCAATGTATTTGAAAATGTAGAAAATCATCCAAAATATTTAAATTAATTTAAATTGGTATTCTGTTATTGTTTAACGGTGAGATATAACTGTGATTAATCATGAATATTTTTAAATGTTATTATTAATTGCAATTATTTTTGTAATTGTCTTACAGTGCTTATTATAAAATGTTTCATTAATGCTCTTAGAGTATAATATAAAGGGGTTAGGGTTGGGTTTTTTTTTCTGGTCCTTATTGTGCTTTCAAACTTCGCTATCTGTTTAACTATTGTGAATAAAGGAGTAAATGGAAGAAAGAGGCAATATAAATCTAATCTTGTGGCAAAAGTGTATCTGAGAAATTTTAAAATGGTAATCTCATTATCATCCTTACATGCTAGATGAGCTTTTTTTTTTTTGACTAACAACTGTGTCAAACCTGATATTTTATTGTTTCTTTTTAAACGTACCTAATGCAGCATCATGTAGCATCCAGGATGGCAAAGTCCCCAGAAAAGAAGGTGAATTACGTTTCCCAGAAAGTCCCAAACATTTCTATCCAAACAACCAGTGAGTAGATGCATTGCATTCCCTTTTCAGAAGCTATATGCAATAATCATGTCGTTGAAGTTTGTTGTTTGATTGCAAACAAGAACTTACCCAGTTCGTGTCATTACAGGCTGTGTGTCTGGACCCTGCTTGTCCCAGAAGGCATGCATATACTACTCAATTTCTCCCACTTCAATGTGGAGTCAGACACATTCTGTGACTATGATTCTCTGTCAGTTTATTCGAAAGATGACAGACTTGTCGGTGAGTTGATTTTCAGTGATTCTATCAAATATTTTCATAGAGTTCTTCAATGTTATTTAAAGTTGTAATAGTAACTGGATTCATTGGTTTCAGGCTCTCTGTGTTCAGGCTCATCCTTTGGGCAAGGCGAGTGAGGCGCAGCGTGCTGCCTTGGGCCCCACATGTACCCTTTGGCCAGGCCTGTCTGTGCTGTCACTGATCACACTGAACTCATGCTTGCAAGTTATATGCCATGTCAGCCTTTAGGACCTTCACCACCAGATGCTAGCAGTTTACTACTTCCCCTAGCTGAGGGAGTTACCATTTGAACTAAGAGTTAGAAGCTTATGTTTTGATGTGAAAGGTCCGAGGTTGAAAGCCTGCTGACATCTTATGCGGGAGTGGGTGGTGTTACCCAGCCATTACAATTTATTGGGGAGAAGTGTTTGGAGGAGGAACTATAAATTTAGTGAAACAATAATAGGACCATGGGGGCTCTTTATCTCTAGGTGCTGTGTGACTCTAACCAAGGTTTGTAAGGATTAAGATTGAAAGATGTTATCAATCTGATAACTGTTCAGTGATACAAGCTACACAGTTTTTCTGCCTGGTTCCTAGTGATCATGTGTTTGCACCATATAAACCACTGAAATTAACTGGTGCACTTGACTGTTTTAAGAGAGAACCTAAGGAGTATGGAGATTGGCCTCCCATTTCACTATCAGAGGTGGCTCCTACAGGTCGGGAAGAGACCATTCCAACACTTCAAGTGTTGCTGCTTAAACAGAGGATGTTAGTTTCTGGTACTATCAAGCTACTAGTATGCAATTTTTTCACTTGAGCTTTTCAGCAAGAGTAGAAAGGAGAATGGAGGCAGACCTCCAACTGAAGAGCTGTAAGAATTCTAGTTATAGTTGTACTTCTCAGGGCCAGCCCACAACATTTTGGCACCTGAGGTGGGGAGCTCAAATGACACCCTCATGCCTCCTCGCTGCACCAGCAGCAGACACAATTTTCTACACTTTGGGTCCTAGTGGTGCCCCCCCACAGTTTGGCACCTGAGGTGGCCGCCTCAGTTTGCCTCATGATAAGGCCAGCCCTGGTACTTCTAAGTGTTTTTTTGTTTGTTTGTTTGTTTTGGGTTTTTTTGGTGACCACATCCTGTAGCTGAGCTTTTATTACTTTGACATGTATACATTTTTCAACCAACTTTCCTAAGGTTTTTAATGATGATGATCATTCTCTAATTATAAATACATAATTTGCAGGGAGATTCTGTGGGGTTGACTCTCCACTACCCATTTTGGTTGGCTCCAATAGTGTAAAGCTGAAGTTTGTCTCTGATAACAAGGAGACTGGAACTGGATTTTCAATGTTTTACAGACCTCTTTCACCATATGCTCTTCCTGGTAAGTGTTAATGCTGTATATCTTCCCTGCCAAGCCATTGTATAAAATACATTGTATCCTTGAAGTTAGCTGTTCTGAGGCCTCTGCAGTTGCATTGTCAGGCACATGGCCTTAGGAGTGGAGATGGATTTGGAAAAGTTCAGAGTGAGGCTTGATTTGAGGCTGAAAAAGCACCAAGCTGAAGGTGTGTGGGTGCTCTTTGTACAGCTAAGGCTTACTTAATTAAAGCATGCTTGTAAAGTCAAAATGGTCCTCAGGTAAAAGATGCTATAATGGATCCTGGGCCCAATCACTTCTTCCTGGGAGAGAATGCAGGAAAGACTGCTAAGTAGGTAGAAATGTTTTTGGGTAGGGTTTGTCTTCCCCCTGGAACAGGTCACGGGGCCTGCCTCCAAATCTGGACGCTCGCCTGGTAGCAGAGGCAGGCCATGTATCTCTGTAACTCTGTGTGCATCATTGCATGGCGGAGTACTGCCTCTGGAGGAAACACATCCACTGGTCGTGTTACCTTTCCACCCTGATCTCCCAAGGGCTTGGGGGATGGGGTGCAAAGTGCAGCACCCTGCTATTTCCTTGCCCTGTTCCTGCAGAGTGCTTTCTGAAGGACGGTGAGAAGTACATTACTGCAGTGGGTTGGCTCTCTCTTCCCTATGGGAGGGGTGTAATCAGAGGGGATAGGGCCCTCTCTGTGCATAGCTCACAGTAATGCGCCAAATCATTCTCCCTTTCTTTTTCAGCTGGGAGATTGCTGCATGGGAGCTGGTCAGGATTTGAATTCAGTGGATGGCCAATTAATAGGAAAACACTTGTTTCCCTTTGATTTTTCCCCCCTGATGTGTTTCTAGATTCTGGCTGTGAGTCCCTAGCTGTCCTCTTTGAAGGAGGAGTGATTCAAAGTATGAACTACCCTGAGCCCTACAGCAACTTGGCCAACTGTCAATGGATTATTCATGCTCCAGAGAACCATGTCATCAAGGTACAATGAAGGAAGGGTGTACACCTTTCAGCCTGTGCAGAACTTTCTTTGGGGAAAAAACAAGTTGTACACTATTCATTGGTAATAAAAACTTACCAGTACCTTCAATTCTTGTGTAGTGCTGTAGTTGCATTCCACCTAAAAAGTAGCTGTAATCTCATGATATTTCAGATCTGTTAGAACTATAACAAAGTTTGGAATTATTTAGATTTGGGGGCCCCCCCCCCCCCCCACTGACATCAGTTGCAAATTGTGGATCTGGACCCAAGTTTAACCCAGATTTCTCCAAAGTTTTGGGGACGTTTGGATTGGGTGTTTTGATTCAGTATTAGGTTAAATTAAAATATTTCTCTGGCTATGAACATCTTAATATTTTTCCTCCTCTTAGCCTTTTGTTGAAAATAAAATAGCAGAGTATCAGTTTAATATTTCAAACATTTTCTGTCGGGGGCGGTATGCTGCCCTTATAGGAGCATGATCTATGCTAGAGTATTACAGATCTGTACTCAGTCTTCCCATCTCTTACTGTTAGCTCTCTAATCTGATTTTTTACTTTTTCTTTTAAGCTTATATATGAGTATTTTGAAATTGAGGAAAATGAAGACTGTTCCTATGACTCTGTAACAATGTATGAGGATGTAACAAAAGAGGAAGAAATAGGTTTGTCTTTTGATTTTTTTCAGTACTGGTCATTGATTTAGACCTGCTTTCTATTGGTCTCATTTTGCATTTTCAAACACTGTAATAGCAACCAAAAACATTACAGCCTGCAATGCCAAATAACAAATAAAAAAGAGCAATTCCCCTCTCCTGCTACTAGGCATTGAAATGTATACTATTCTCCATACAGTACACACTGGCATTTTTCACCTCTGATCCTTTTCAGAGGACTATTGTCTACTATCTTCTTACTTAGATAGAGAAACATATCTATAGCATGAAAATGTTGGTTATTTATATAGCATCCTAAATTCTGTATTTAGTTCCTGTAACTCAAGGAAGGAAACAGCCAGATACTGTTTGCAGTACTGTTCTTTGGCACATTGATCATACAAAACACCCCAGGTGACATGAGTCTGGTTTGCTTTTCAGGGGCTTGTTCTTCTTCACCAAACCCCTGGAACATTGATGTAACTCTCATTAACATCACTAGAATTGTTTTTGGTTTAGGGCATTGTATCAATACATGACAGGAGAATGAAGCCTAAGGACTTGTTGTTTGGTTTATCTAGACCTTGGAATACATAATAGGCCCAATTCATCTCAGTGCCAGTGCTGGTGTTGGAGCAAAGGTAAAGGGGAGGTAATATTTTCCTCCCTTTATTCAGGGATCAAGTGGACTCTTGGTGTAGTCTAAGAAAGCCCTCAGGACTGCCCTAACTTGTACCCTCTGCAATGGCTTTGATAGGCCTATGAAGAAGTACAGGGAAGCCATGGCTAATGCTGTGCCATTCCAGCCTATCTCTGCATGGGATTGAGTGGAGTGGGATTCATGCACTAAGGATTTTTCCCAGGAGAGTTCTATGTAACAGAAGAGTTACCTTCTCAGCCCCTTTGCAAAGTGGCTCTAGAACAAGGCTGAATTCACCTGTATGCTTTGATTGGTCAGTAAAGACCAAAATTGGCTTTGTTTGGAAGAATTTGAAACAATTGGAGAAGGTTGCTGTGCTTTCAGGGGTGGCTTAATGCCTTTGTAAGGTAAGAGTTGGGTTATTGTTTGTTGTTGTTGTTGTTGTTTTTAAGATGAGAAGGTGAGAAGAAAGGGAACACCTCTCCTAGCAGTGTAGTGACATTTGTAAACTACAAATGGTATTCATTATTCGTGATAACTTGGTCAGTTAATGATGGTGGGACATTGTGATAATACAAAAAAAGCCAAATCCCTAATGTGTTCCTCCCAAAGTTGTGAAACATGGTGAAAAGGACACCAGATTCCCACCGCAGAACTGGAAAATGTAAATCTATGAATGAATGCTCCATGAATCCTCATCTTGGCAATTGGGCTTAGACATAGACCAAGATCTAATCATTTTGTCATGAGAGAGATTTGAAAACCTAAACCTCAGATTGAATTTTGCAAATGGTTCCTATATTTGTGGACCAATGTCCTGGATCTCAACTCCTTGGAATTTTGGGAAGTTTGGAATTTGGATCTAAATACTGTTGCTGAGTCCCACAGGAGCTCCTTCTAATATACAAAACTAGGGTTCTTTCCAACCATATGTATCTGCTGGAAAAAGTATGTTTCTCCTTTCCTCCTTCCCTTTTCTTCTGCTGTCTATACCAGATATGATGAGAGTTATATTTGTAAATCCTGGGTCTGTCTTTAGCTAGGTCTTGTGGGTTTGCTGTCCCAGCACCTGTTTTGAGCACCTCTAGCATGATGCTAATCATCTTTCATTCAGATGAAACTGAGACCTTTGGGGGATTCCGAGCCACAATCTCCTTCATTCATATTACAGGTAAAAGAATTGAAGCATATTGTATTACATGTCATCCTGCTTTTCCTGGGGGGAGGGATGGGTAGAGGAGGAGGAGGGCCAGCATGGGTGTTCTGCAGAGAGTCTTGGTATTTCATCTGGTTTTGGTCTAGGTAGGTCTCCACTGAGAAAATGTAGTAATGAGAAAAACTATTATATATCCAGTGGGCCATAGTCTCTAAGATCTATTGAGTCCAGAAATCTAAAGGTGCATGTTTTGGGTACAAGTTTGAGTCATATCTTGATATATATATGGACTGATTCTTCTTCAAACCCAAATGAAAAGCCTGCTGCAGCATGGCATGTTTGGGGTTTAAATGATGGGAAATGACATGTGAATGGACATTCAGTCATCTTGCAGATGCTATTAAGAATCAACTTTTCATTCTGTGAAGTGATATGTTGGGACATTTTTAGGTCATAGCCAGGTAATGGTCAAAAGTCCAACTTTGCTCTGTCCTACTTTATGCAGGCAGCTGGCATTAAAAGCATATTGTGGTGTTTGTAGCTAGAGCTGATCAAAATTTGGAAATGTAAACATTTTGATTTTTTTGTTCAGAATCGGAACAATAAATCAAAATTTTACAGCTGGAGAAACTGAGATAGTAAGAGTAAGCAATTTGATTTTACTAAAGGCAGCTTACTTAGGCCTGTGATTAGACCACTAGATAGCTCCTGCCTGAAATATAATAGCTCACAACAGAACAATCACATCTTGTTTGTGGAATTTTGTTTAATTGCTGAGCACCTGGCAGTGGGACATATGCCATAAACAACTTGGAGTGCAGACAAGTTCAGACAGAAGGAGACGTTACTTATGGACTGCAAAGGTCCTGGGTCAAACCTTAGTTGCAGTAATATGTGCCAAGACAGAGAATGACATTTTGGCTCCACTGAAGTCAATAGTAAAAACGTAATGGCCACCGTGGTTCAAACCTGTGGGCCAATTAGCCCAGTCTCTGGCCCCTGACAATGGCTAGTGCCAATGCTTCAGAGCGAATGAACAGAGCAGGGCAATTCTGAGTGATTCTTCCCATCATCTATGCCCAGATTCTGGTAAGTGGAGGGTTAGGGACACGTGGGGCATGGTGTTTTGTCTCTGACTAAGTTAGCTAATAGGTATTGATTGACCTATCCTCTGTCAACTTATCTATTTCTTTTTTGACCCCAGTTACACTTTTGGCCTTCACAGCATCTTAGGCTATGTCTAGACTGAAGAGCTTTTCTGGGAGGTATCCGAAAAAGCAGACGTGTTCTTTCAGCATCCCTGTATTCCCCTCGGTGAGAGGAAGAAGAGATGTTCTAAAAGTGGAGATTTTTCCAAAATGTGGCCCCTTATAGATGGGCCAAATTTTGGAAAAGCCTCTTTAAAAAAAAAAGCAGAAAAAGATACGCAAATGGTGGTTAGCAATGTGCGTATTTTTGTCCGACTTTTCTCGGCAGTGTAGACATGGCCGTAGAGTAGCAAGTTCCACAAGAAGACTAGTCATTGTGTGCAGGAATATTTTATTCTTTTTGTTTTCAACTTGGCACTTATTAATTTCATTGGGTGATAAGTAAGTAACACTTTCCTATTCAACTCCCCCACACCATTCATGATTTCATAGAGATCTCTCAAATCCCCTTTAGGTGTCCCTTCTGTCCCCACCTTGATCATCTCTCCTCACACAGAAGCTGTTTCATACCCCTGGGCATTTTCATTGCTGTTCTCTGCACTTTTTCCAATTCTCATGTATTTTTCAAGATTGATTAACCAGAACTGCATGCTATATCCCACATATGGATTTATATAGTGGCACAATGATATTTTCTACTTTATTATCCCTTTACTAATGGTCCCTAACATTCTATTAGCTTTCCTGATTGCCACCGTATATTCAGTGGAAGTTTTCAGGGAACTATCCATAGTGACTCCAAGATCTTTCCTGACTGGTAACAGCTAATTTAGATCCCATCATTGAGTATATGTATCAAGATTTGCTTTGATTTTGACTTCAGTGGAGCCAGGATTTCACCAACTGAGGTTAGCAATTGGGGTCACTGTCACTTAGTTAAATCCATTCCAATCTGTGCCCATCAATTAGCAGACACAGTCACTAAGCTAAAATTTCAGTTGTTCATCTTTGGTCATTTTTTACATGTGGCATGATCCTCCAGTCCCTACAGAGTCAGAACCCCAGTTGGAAACAATAAAAGTCTTTCCTGTGTAAGAACTACAGGATCAGGCTGAAAGTGAGTTAGGTCCAGAACTGGGAATGAAACCTAAAACTATTGTCTGCATTACACTACAAAGCCAACATAGTCCCTGAGTATTGATGCAATATACACCTAAGGCTACATCTACACTGGCCCCTTCTTCGGAATAGCCATGCTAATTTAGAACTTTGGAATAGGGAAATGCGCGGGGGATTTAAATATTTCAATTAGGAATAAGAGATCCTCCGGAATAGGGCTTTATTCCGGAGGATCGCGCCAGTCTGGACGCTCTTTTCCGGCTTTTCCCCAAGCCGGAAAAAAAGCGGCGGCCATGTTTATTTAAATCCCGCGGGGGATATTTAAATCCCCCGCGCATTTCCCTATTCCAAAGTTCTAAATTAGCATGGCTATTCTGAAGAAGGGGCCGTGTAGACGTAGCCCTAGGGTGCACCTGGAGCTCGAAATAAGCTATGCAATTTGAGCTACACAAATTGCAGGGATGTTGGAATAGGGAGTCCGTTATGTTTCGAAATAATGAGCTTGCTCAAAAGATGTGAATAGCTATTTTGGGATACTTCTGATATCCCAAAAGAGTTCCCCAGTGTAGACGTAGCTCTACAGAGGGAATTTGGACTTACCTGCATGATATTAGGTGTACAGGCAAAAGTTATCTTCCATAGGCATGGCTGCACCTACACTGAGAATTTGATCAGAAAAGCTATGTTCTAGGTAGCGTGTTATTTTTTTTTCACACACCCGAGGGACATAAATATGATGGTATAAATTTTGAGTTAGACTAGGTGACAGTGTGCGGCCCTCCAGTCAAACTGAGGGATACCTGTTACATGGATCAAAAGAAAATACTGAGGTTTAAGACAAGCTCTAATTTTGTGTTTGTTTATGTTGATGTTGTTGTGATTATTTGTATTGTCAATCGTAGCCACCAATGTGTGCTAGGCATTTTTCAGAAACTCAGGAAATCTGGTCCCTGCTCTATCATGCTTTGAGGACACCTAATTAGACAGACAAATACTAGATCTAGTAATACAGAAGTAACTGAAGATATCCATCATCAGATGTAGTCCTCCTGTAGATAGGTTACTAAAACCACAAGAAATTACTGATTTGTCTCTGTGACAAAACCAGGAGTAACTTCATTTGAAATACACTAATATGCTATTTTCACTTGCTAGATTTAAATATATCTGATTCGGTCAATGAAGCAGCACTTCCTGCAGATCTAAATACCACCACAGAAATTCCAGGTAATCCACCTGTGATAAGCCTTCTTTAGTGGGAATGTGATACGATTTGAGCAGGAGGAGGGGTAAAAAATGGCTTATGATTGTACCTTGAGTTGCTACAAGATGCTCCAGTTGAGGTGTAAAGAAATACAGTTGGCTTTAGAATGGTAGGTTCTGTCTCTCTGGTGCCTGCACTTCATTCATTCGCTTACATCGGTAAAATGTGTGTTTAAAATGCCATTTTGATTTGGTAATGTTTTGCAAAAACCCTCTTTGTACAAGTGTAATTTAGAACACCGGGCATTGCCTGTACATTTAGAAATTGGCTTTGCACCCTTAAAGGTTTATGGAAAGGAATGAGTCTGCAATACACTACAGACCTGAGGCTAATGTGTTGTACTGCAGATGATCTTACTCTTATGAACATACTCTGTTTCTGCAAAAAGCATCTTCTCTTGACAGTGGGGGGCCCTACACCTGCATTGCAGTGCAGGAGATCTAGGATTAGGCACAAAGGTTGCTGAGGCAGGCTACCCTCACTGTAAAGAGTCAAACAAGTGTAAACTCTTTTCCCCCAACCAAAACCTGGACTCTCCCTTCAGTGTATAAACGCTTTCTGTTCCTAACAGATGACATCTGTGGAGTGCCTTCAAATCAGCCCAGGTTTCTCTTCAGCCGGATAATGGGCGGTGGGGAAGACGTGCCCTACTAC